ATCCGATGACGATGACACGCATATGCTCGCGAAGCTGCTGATGAGACCTTCAATTTGCACCGCTTCTTGGAATAGCCCGTCCCCTACTTGCCAAGAAATGGCAAGAGGCGTCTGGACCCGAAATTTCAATTTTTTTGGCTCTCGCTCTCAATCAGATACTTCGCTCTCAATCAGGCGAATATGTTGTTATACCTCGCTCCCCCCTGCAATTCTCCCAAAAGAGCAATTTTCGGGAGTCTCTCGTCTCTCATGCGCGCAACGAATCCTGCGAAGCACAGTCGCCGCTTGCGCACGGTGGCCTCAACGCTCTCGTCGCAACCCGCGGTGATCAGGGCTTTGGCGTAGGAGAGGGGTCGGTCTTTTCTCTCCCTCTTTTTCCATCCGATGCAGCGAAGGAGGAAGAAGTGGTGGGCTGACCGAAGCTTGCGGTACTCCGCTGGCTTCAGATTCCATGTGACACACCCGTAGAGTAGGGTCTCCACGACTTCAGCTTGGAGGAGTCGTACTTTTAGTCGAAGAGGGCCCCCCGGGCGGTCGTACATTGCCTGGCTGTTGCGCCGGAAGCAGGCGTGCGCTCGCTGCACTCGGTGGTTAATCTCGCCCTCAATGCTACCGTCCTGACAAATCTTACCCCCGAGATAAACAAAGTCTTTCTTCTGCTTGAAGACCATCCCGACAGCGTCGATCGTGAACGAGCACGCCTCCATCCCTTTCGCGAGCATACACATGGTCTCCGTCTTGGGTTCTGACACCAACAGCCCGAACCGCCCGGCCACAGGTACGATGATCGACATAATCTTCTCAAGGCTCCCAGGTGATTGAGATACAATACAGGCAGGCGTCGTCGGCGTAGAGCATACTCCAGATGGACTTCACTGCCTCCACCAGTCGGGCGTTCCTCCCCTTCCCCTTCGTCACCTTCCTCTTGACCTTGGCCATGTCCGCCATCACCTCCGCGTCCTTGCTGATCTCGGCAAAGGCCGCCATGAGCATCGCAGCAATGAAAAGGTTGAACAGCAGGGGTGCCAGATTGCACCCCTGTCGGAGTCCCTGCCCCACATCAAACCAGTCGGAGCACCTCCCGTCGTCCATCCGTACGCATGCTCTCATGCCGTCGTGGAATTGGAGAATGGCCGCAAGCATCTTGGGGGGCACTCCGAGCCGCTTGAGCACCGACCACAGTAGTTCCCGGTCAATTGCTTGCCTTCAAGTGTCTCTCTTCCGTTGTTTCGAATTCAATAAACTAATGGTGGTATATGGTTGGACCGTTTGTTGTTGGTTTGGAATTTGTGGGACTTACGGTTGTTAGTTAGCTGATTCTAAAAATGAATTGTTATGCGTGCGGAGTGAACAATTCTTATTGTAAAAAAGGTAGTACCTGGTATAATTTAACAATACTGTGCGTGTGATTGGTGACAACCCTTACCGTATCCAGTGTGCTCTCCGCAAAATATGCTGGGCCATACAACCCCACCCACGTGCCGGCTCTGAAGGAAAAGAAAAACACCACCACCGGCCCGTCCCGGCACGTGAAAAAAAAACAACCGGCCCGTCCCGGCATGTGAAAAAAAAGACCGGCGCGTCCCGGCAAGTGAAAAAACAACGACCGGCCCGTCCCGGCACCTAGAAAAAAAAAACTACCACCCCGTCCCGGCAAAAATTTCCCGATAAAACTACCGTCCCGTCCCGTCCCAGCAAGAAATAAAACCACCACATTTTGCTACTCCGGTGCTACCGGCGAAATAGAAAATTTTGCAACCACCCGAATTTACCTCCCGTCCCGCCAATTAGTTTTCAAATGCAGCAGTCCATGTCTCACCTTGAAAAAATTCAGGGGGTTCCTCGGTACCGGTTTTTGACATTGGTTAACAACTATTATACCGCAGTAATCAGCCACCACACACAGTAATGCACAGTATTTTTTGGACGGTATTCGGCCATCTCGGTACATTTACCACGGGACTCAGCCTCCACGGTATTGCACGGTATTTTTTTAACGGTAATCGGTCGTCACGGTACATCTATACCGCGGTATTGATCCACCACGCACGGTAATTGTACGGTATTCTCGGCTAGCACGGTATTACCCATACGGTTCTTTTTTTATCTTTTTTTATTTTTTTCTTTATTTCTGCGTGTTGCTCCTGCGCGTAGTATAGCAACGTGAGTACATTGGTTCACAGAACATCCAAACGCAACACACACACGCAGCCATTCACACCCAAAAGATGGCGACCGAACGCAAGAGCTACGCCCAGCGATGCCAACTAATTGCCAGAGTGAATCGTGTGCGCTGCGGCTGCGGGTCCAGCACCAAGCCCCTGAACGGGACTGTCAGCTACACCTCGGCTGCGGGTGCTGCAGCAGCACCGCTCGCCGCGGAAGCACCCGCGGCAACCGATGATGCCCCCTCACCCACGGCATTGCTGGTTCCACCAACGTTCTGGCCGCCTACCATGACTGCTTACCCTCGGTAGTGGTGTGTTCTGGGTTGGTGGGAATGTTCCGTACACGATTACTGTGAGCCACCGGCTTTGATTTATTTTTATTATATTTTTTACCAAGTACGAAGTATTATTTTTTCTTGAAAAATAAAAAAATACCAGCAAGATAAAGAAAAACGTAAACAAGATTGAGGCGTAATCTTATGGGCCCCGAATTTGGGCCTCGGATCTTCAATTCCGTAGGAATTTTTCTTCGGACCACCTTATAGACACGGAATTTGAGATTCCGGATCTCAAAATATCCGTGGACAACGATCCGGGGGCGATTCCTTCAGATTTTTGGCCCAAAAGCCGACGCGAGACAGCCGCGGATTATTGCTCACGGATTCGAGATTCATTTGTTAACTGTTGTTCTTCGAGGAGGGTCACACCACATCTCCGAGCGCACTGCAACCACAACAACCGAATCCCCACCAGACCTTCGATGGGGCTTGCTTCGAGCGTAGTAGGAGGCAGCGAACGACATGCGGAGTTCGTCGCTGCTCTGGCAACAGCGCGGTGGTGGCAGTAGTAGTAGTAAGTAGTAGTAGTAGTAGTAGTAGTAGTAGTAGTAGTAGTAGTAGTAGTGCCGAGACGTCACGAAAAGAAAAGCTACGTTGTGTGTGTTTCGTTGTTGTTCTGTTCTTCTTCTGTTGTTGTTGTTGTTGTTGTTGTTGTTATCGATGTTGTTTGTTGCGTTTTTTCAGACAGCAGCAGCAGCAAGCACAGTGATCAGCACTACTACTACTACTACTATTTACTACTACTACTACTACTATGATAATAGAAGAAACGATTCCCCCGGTATGTATGGTCGTTTTTGCTGTACGAAGAAGCACCACCGTGTGTGAGTGGTGTGTGTGTGTTGGTGTCTTCGCTGAAATTGAGTTATGGTACGGCCTGCCTCTGCTGCACTATCTATGACGCACGTACGTGCGTCCGTCGGTACGTTGTATATCGAACCCATCCAACATGTCCCTGTTGCAACACGTTTCTGAGGACACTGCAAAACCCGGATCACTATCCGGGGCTCAAAATCAGTGTTTGCCATAAGGTGGGCTGATTTACATTTTGCCCACAGATATTTGTCCGACGATATTTGAGATCCGGGGCCCGTAATCCGGCGACAATAAGATTCAGCCTGATGACGTACTACCGTTAACCACGTTTACAATGGTACAGTAATTGATAGTTTTTGTATTTCGCGGAAAACCGTACCGCGGTACCGAGAAATGGCGGGAATTCCAATATTTGCACGGTCACGGTTTGATTGGCATTGGTCAAATATTATGTTCTCGGTAACGGTTTGGATGGTAACGGTATCGCACAATTTGGATGGTAACGGTAATTCCTATTTATCGCGGTATCGTTACCAAATACTCCGTACCAAATACCGCGGAATTGCCGTGATGAATTACCGCGGTAATATTCCCGAGGAATCCCTTTAAAAAATCGATCTACCGCGCAAAATGCTCGTAAGAAGGCGATTTCCTGCTGATTGTTTTGTCCCCTGGAAAGAAAGCTGCATTTCTGCAAATCCCCTAGTCTATGTTCCGGTGACACTTTTTTTTGCTAAACAAACGCCGTTCGTTTCTCCAAACCCTTAGTTATTGTATCCTTTCTTTTTGTGCTGAACCCAGCGTGGCCTCAATTCTAACATTGATGTGCCACGCTGCTGCGTGTCACGCGGTGAGGAGGTTTAGGTAGATCTTTGGCCTCACAAGGTACTTCCACACAAATTACAGAAGGGAGGACCTGTCCAAACACTCTCCAGGGTGTACTTGACATGTTACGCACGATCAATTTGGGGGGTCGGTCGGGAGTGGAAGGCGTGTAGTGTGAGCTTTTGGCGAGCCAAGGAAATTGGATCTGTTCGCGCGTTCGATCGCGTGTCGAGATCATTCCGCACCGCGTAGTGTTTGCCTTTTTGGGGTGCTACCTGTGTCGATGTTTTTTCATCAACAGCACTATTATTGTGCTTTCAGTCTCTCCAACACAGCCTATCGCCAATATTACCATTCTTACAGGCCAGCAGCCGCTGCTTTGAACGGCATGGCGGGCGGGACGTCTCGACTGAAGGGCCAGGTGAGACATTCAAAAGGGTGTAGAGCGATAGACTATGCTGCAAAATTTACTATCCCTCCAACTCGAGGAAGGGGATGGCTTATCACCCCCCCCGGCATCCAAGTTCTCTACCGCCTTGTGTAGGCTATAGCACTGCCTGTCGAGAAATCAAGCGTCTTTCAAGTGTACACAATCAGGTATGACACGGTGCTCGTTTGGGACGTGGAAAAAATGAACAAATCATGCGGGGTGCAAGTTGGAGCTGCTTACACATCAAGAAACATGGGTGGTGTAGCAAGATCGTCGCGCAAGATGCGTGGTCCCTTTATTTGATGCTGGTTATAACTTCGCGCTCCTCGTCGATCTTAGGGCACCTCTCTAGCCAGCAGATCGACGGTTTCCTCACACGAGAGCATTTATTTGCAATTTGAGCAACAAGACGTATATGAAGTCATGCTCGTCACTAACTTTGAACGTCGGTTTCCTCTGACGAGCGAAGTTCGTGGCCGTGACCCTCTCGTATGCCAAATCCTGTGGAGCCATCAAGCTAAAGATCGTCCTACCATTTGCAGTCACGAAACTTGCATGGGCGACATTAATCATGAGAGCTAAAGTTGGAAACTCCCTGGTCCATGTGACGCGGACGCCTGATCGCGTACAGCTCGTCTCCGACTATGAGTAGCATCCCACACACCACGCGCTTGTGGTCTGCACTTGCTATATAGCCGGCCGCGGCAGTAGTCCTCAGAGATCCAGCCTTCCGTCGATACGCTGCGTGAGCGGACTACGGGACTAACCGAAGTAGTCAAAGATGCGTAGACCTCACGTACGTGCCGGCACGAAGGGATACAGATCGCGAAAATATCGTATGTTGTGTGTTGGCGAAACCTCGAGAAGGAGAATAAACGAAACATGAGCAAAGAGAAGCAGTGTGCACTAGAGCAACACTACAGAGACAAAAAAACAAGACAAGAAATACTTTGTTTCAAATAAGAAACCGTCCCGTTAGACAGGACTCCAAACAGAACATCGCACATCCGCCACACGCAAGGTCGTCACGGCGGCAGGGTGCAATTCAGCTGTCCGGGGGCCCTATTTGGAAGCAACTCTGAACAATCACCAAAAACCTACTCCAAAAAAAAAAACACGACACAAGCGCTCATACGACACACAGGATTGCCCAAAAGACAGCACGGGAAGGCCATAGCAACACCCCCACACTCCCTAACCAGGGACAAAGCGAGCCACCCTCCCAGCTGTTTCCATCATGGTTCGCGGATTTTTTCCATCTTGGTTTCGCCTTACGCTGCTGTTCTCGGTGCCGTTGTTACACCAGCAGCACTCTCGCTTGTGAGGTAGGTCAGATTGGCGCGCTGAGGAGTTTGAATTGAACAGCCACCTCTGCCCTTCATTATTGAACGACTCAAGTTCGTCTTCTCTACGGCTGGGTGACCGTGCAGATGGAGAGAAGACGAACTTGGATACTCAGCCTCCGCCTCTTTCACTCATTCTGATGAGATCGCTGAGCTTCACGCGCGACGAGTACTTCAAGCTTAGCGTCCTCATGCGGATGATGAACAGCACACATCGCGAGGTGAGCCGTTTATCGACGAATGATTAGCGCGTTCAACGTTACAGGAGAGTATCATAGGAGGATGAACCTGGCGTGAGACACCACCGCCCCGCAAAGAGAGAGGCAAGTGATATAAATATTCACCGTATCCATTTGCGAACACAGATCCCTCTTTAGAAGTACTATGTATACGAGGCACGACGGGGGGCAAAGAGAGGACCTGTGGTTACCGAGAGGGCATTTTTGTAACAACAACAGCGCACCCGCCCCCCCCCCTACAATCAGCCCACGGGACCCCCTGCCCCACACTGTCGTTGAATGGCGCAGGCGGCGCTCGTCGCAGGATGCACGGTGGCGTTTCCTCCGTGGTGGCGATTTGCCCGACGGACGGGGATTTTCCTGATCTGCGTCATGCATGCCTACGCTGGTCTACTAAATACGAGGGTGACCCGTTCTGCAATCTCCGGCGTGCTACTCGATCCCGTCAGTTTCATCTTGTTCCTGGTGCTGTGGATCTCCATCACAGCGTGTTTAGAGGTGTGCTGGTCGTCCCGCAATGTTCGCGCAATGTCAAAAAGTGTGTACATATTTCCTGTGTCGCGCGGTCTGTTCCCGGCTTACAGCCATGGAAGGCACGATCCAGGGACTATGGAGACTGTCTTCTTGGCGAGGGTCTTGGTCATCGCATTGTTCACTTTGCAACATACGATTCAGCACTTTCTCCCTGCCCTCTCCGCTGTAGTATCGCATTTGCCTTTGAGCGACGGAAATCAGCATCGATGGAGCCTAGAAAAGGAATCATGTACAGCAGTAGCGGTTTTGCTCTTTTCCTAGATTCGGGTTTACCACTCAACGATTTCTGTCAGTTTTTTTCGTTTTTCGACATACGACTGCGTAGGACCATGTTGCTGGCAAGGTACAGTGCTACTCATATACTGGCGGTGGTTATTTTGCCCAGGAGGAATGGATATTAGATTCACGGGAGTAGGTACTTGTACGAGAACAGGATATATGTTCCCCAACAGGCCAGTTGTAGGCTTGCGCTGGTGCTGTGAATCCATCACACATCGTCTTGCAAACGATACCCCAGAACCTAGGAGCTCTCGAGTTGTAGAAGATGCTCGTCGATGTCCCCTGGCCAGGTCGAACCAACATACGTGTAATACTCTGTCCCCAGTAACATGCGACCGACACCAGTATTGTGCAATTTATCGCCGGGGGGCGAGCATCATCGGTGCACAGATCCACACACACAAAATAAACACATGTTCCACACGTTGGGACGCCATGGATTCTACCATGAACGAGTTTCCCAAATGCTGTTCGAAGATGTGCTTAGAGAAGAACGCGCTTCGGAGACACTGCAGTAAACATTGTCAGAACATCCAACATGGTACGACATGACCAAGTCGAGAACAAGATTATACCCCTTGACTGCGAAAGTTGTTATCTGGCGCACGATTGAACAGACCTTCCCTCTGCCTATCGTTTTGGCGACTCGTCAGGCGTCCATATACCCGAGCCTCAAGGGATACCTCATTGCCAGGAACGAAACATTGTACTCAGGTTTCATCTCCGGAATGGGCGCATACGTGGCTTGCGGCTGGAGAGCGGCGGGTCCGCACTTTGCATACCCCGGTGTCATAACGCTCGTCGCCGTTTTTTGGCACTGTTGGTACGCTTCGATCTACCCGTCCGACAACAAAAAGCTGCAACAAGCACTGGACAAGGACTACGAAGGAGCGAGTATGGGGGACTGGCTGTATACAAGCAATTTCTACAGGCCTGAGCTACAAAGCCTCAAGATGCCGAGGTAGGTCGTTCAACGACCTTGAACGTGGCACGGGGGTTCGGGGAGTACATGTGCACGTCGGAGGTGGTACAAGTGACAAACTCCCGCCGATGAGATTGCGCCCTTTCCGGTACTACAAGGAAGTGGCAGGGGAGGGATGGTACCCTACTCCAAGAATCCATTACTTGCTTCACTACGATGCGTTCCGTCGGGTCTTGACAGCCCTGCCCCCTTCCCCCGCACACGCTTTAATGTTACTTGACTTAGGTGGAAGAAACCCCTTGATTGGGTAGGCAAATCAAACCACAAGTTTCGGAACAAACCCACCCTGAAGTACGATCAGACGGCAAAGCTGGTGCCATCGGCTTTCTGCAGTAAGCTGGAAGATCGTCCGGTTGTGGAGTGCGATAGCCTGGATGATCACATTCCGGTGTCAAAAGAGCAAGCCCTCAAACTCGTGAATTTGAAAGTTCCACTCGTCTTCCTCAAGGAGGAGGCGAAAACGCTGTGCGAACACCGCCAAGGAAATCCTGAGGCTGTTGAGAATGGCGAGCAACGGGACCATGAAGAGTATTTCAAGAAACTGATGGACGAACAACCGAGCAGGCAGACAAAGCTCAAGCCCATTATTACAGATATTGGTAGGGTGGTCGATTTCCCCTTTTTGTTTGACGCACGGGAGGGCACGGCGTACGTCGTCTTGGGCCTACTGGCGTTAGGATTAGCCTTTGCATTGCCCACTACAGGGAGCAAGTTCGTGTTCGGAGGTCTGGCGGCAGGTTTCGCCCACTTCGCAGACTTTGAATCCGCACGCGGGTGGACCTACCTACAACAAGCTCTGCTTGAAGACCGCGCCGGAATAAGGGATCCAGGCACGGGCTGCACGAGCAAACTCGGATTATTACAGTGGGGTGTCCTGTCCATCATAGGCGTGGCTTTAGAATGGCTATCGTCGCTCACTGACGAGTCGAGCTCAGGATGGGAGCACTTCGTTACAGCCTGGGTACATTTGGCAGCCTGTGCCGTGGTACCGGTCGTTATTACGACAGCCTGGGGAACGTATTTGACTTGGGATGCTAGGCGTGCTAGGGAAAGGCGTGCTAGGGAAAGGCGTGCTAGGGAAGACGACAGACCTGGGAATGGAACTTGGATACAACCAAACGGCACTCATCACGGATATAGCTTGTTTATGCAAAATAAGGAGACCAATTTCGATCACTCCTTGGGGCCGGGCGATGCGTACGTGGTCGGTAGCCATAGGCTGCTTTTCTCAGACACAGGGGGTGAGTGGCTAAACGAAAAGGTTGGTACCAACGGCATTAAAGAGGGTCACTTTAGCGTGGAGAAAAGAGGAAATTTCTGCTTAGTGCAAGTCGGGTGATGTCAAAGTCGGCCTTCAGGCAAGCATAATAAATGATTCCGCAGGGCTTGCACATGGCTGAGGAAAAGACACGTATGACCTTAGCGCAGGTCGAGCGTTTTCTTTCAACAAGGCGGGGGTAGGCGATCCGGTAATAATTAGCATTGTATCACCGAAGTCAGTGCCTGCCGTGGGTGGGGAGATTATATTGAGAAGCTGCCGAGCGAAGCGAGGCTAAAGTGAAGAGCGCTGTTGTTGCGAAGCAGCGCTCGAACTTGCTTCGAATTCATACCGGGGGTCGTGAAATTATGTATAGGAGTATGTGTAAGTGCAAAAAAAAAAGAAAAAAACTTGCATGGGGGGCCTATTTGGTATCGGTCCTATTTTTCGGTGTCTGTCTGTGTGTGTGTGTGTGTGTGTGTGTGTGTGTGTGTGTGTGTGTGT